TCATATATAGAATCCATAATGTCAGGTAATATAAAACACTAAGTTATTCAAACTTATTCTACTTAAATAAAAATATTAAATATGAAGGCATACAAGGCTGTCAAACCTGATCTCAGCATTGTATCAGTTTTTCTAGAAAGATTGACATGCCTTGACTTTAAAGTGAACCTGCTTTTATGTCTGAAATATGCAATGATAGCATGAGATTGGCTCCAGTCATTTAGATAAAATGTAAAGAAAACACAGTTTTAATATTATCTTTAAATGACATTTAGAAGTAGATATAACTTTAGCAAATAAAAACACTATTATGGATAAAATACTCCTTCATGAAACATTACGAATATTATTTATCTATATATTAGAGTAGTTGTATTAATTTCTGCTTTAATTATTAAGAAGTAAGGAAGTTGTGTTTTCTTTAATTTTTAGAAACACTGCATCTATGTCTCAATATTGTAATAATAACCAACAGTTCCAATTCAGCTGTCTTGATGATGGATTGTTCAAATGTCATCTGAATAATGTTGACAAGCTTTTATCCTTATAGAATTATCTCTTTTTACTGAATGAAGTTGTTGAATATTTAGAAAGGTTATCTCTTTGAGCAATTCCTGAGAGTACCTGTGAATTCCTAGTCTTATCTTTGATTAAATCATGGAATAAAACTATAGTCTGGAATGGTTAAATTCAAAGCATTAATTCAGTTAAACAATTTTCATTTCATAACTGTCTGATGCCTTTTATTCTTTTAAGCAGAAGACCATTTCCATAATATGCAGTTTGAAAATGATAAACATATTATATTTCTAATATTCTTTGAATATAATGTTTTATAAGATGATATATTGAAGTAAAAACTTAAAACATTTATGCCTGTTGGAAAAATCCTGTGATAATTATTGTCTACTTCATTCTTAGGAGTAATTTTACATATATCTATCATCAGTCTATTTGAGTAATTATTAATTAACACAAACAGACCATAATGTGTAGTTTGGAAGAGAAGTTAATGTCTTCAGGGCGTAATAGCATCAATATTGTGGCTTTGACAGCTGGTTTGGAAGTGGTTTAACTTTGATAAAGCATTATTGAGAAAAGTAATCTAAAATTGGAAAGAAGAACTAAAAACAACTAAAAAACCAAACAGTACCTAGATTCCAAATCAATTCAAAGTGAAAGAAAAGCATTAATGATAAAAATCCATTCATGTGTCAGATATGGAATTAAGATTTCATCTCCAGAAAAACTGGTTTGATATTATATTTAGATCAGATGGAGCTAGTAGTGAAACAATAGTACAATGAATAATATCTGAGATGGTTAATAGTAGACATTAAATCCAATTTATACTATTAAACTCAGTAATCATAGTCTGAATATTGTAACTGATATCAAAATATCAACTAAACTGTATCAATCCATCATATCTCACTGAATATCACATAAATCATTCCAGGCTTTTAAGGCTGGGCTCTGAACCATACCTTACATATTATCAGTTATATCTGAGTTGTGCAACAATCCTTAAAGCATGTTACCTCCTTCAATGACCTCTTTCATATATTCAATTAGTAAAAATTGGTAGAAAACCAAAATCATTGTTATGAAATTTAGAATCAAGTTCATGTTAAATTGAGGAACAATTCTGTTGTAATGTACTAGTTCAATAAATTAATCAAAAAATTTCTCGTAGCACATAATACTGCCTAAAGTGTTTAAAAATAAAGTAAATTACCTTCTGGTTCATTCATATTCCAATAACAATGAAAAGAGAACACTAGAATATATAACAGTTAATTCCAGTTTTCAATGTAACAGTGTAGATGTCAGTGATTGGTTTAAAAACCTCCCTAGGTGACTTTAATTACAGTCAACTTTTACTCCAACTATAAAATCAATATCCTATAAAACTTATGTTTTTTACTATTTTATCACTAACTTAATACTAACTACTCAAACAATATTGTTTTAATGTTATCAGACTAAAAAAGTTTATGATCAACTTTTATTACGCCATCAAGTTTAGATACTTAAAGGTTTTATATTTTTCATTGATGGTTTACCGGTAATTCTTGGTAATTAAAATTCAACCCTTAGCCAATGATACTGATTCTAGTGTATGTCATGATAGAGAGTTTCACTCTATTATTGTTCATCTTTGTTATATATATTGAACACTTCATGTACTGACTGCCGACTTATTAAATATGAAATCAAGATAACAATCAAGACTAAAAACTGCCATATTTCCCATGGGTTGGTGTTATACCATGAGGTTTGGCTCTTGGCACCACAATCAAGATAACAATAGAAAAAGCCATCTTTTGGAACTTTGGCAATATATTGATATCTTGCATGATTGTTAATATAATGTTAACTGCAAAGGCAGTTGCCAAATTTAAAGAATTTTTTATAAACTCCAAAAAAAACATGCAATCAACAAATATCAGAACAATCCAGTATGCATTGTAATGTTATTATTACATTCCTTTCACAAACAATATTAATTTTCAAAAAGTTTCAGACTAGTCAGTAACCTCCAAAAAGTGGTTTGTGACCCAAACTGGGGTCATGACCCAGAAGTTGGGAACTCAGGACATAGGCATTGTCATTAGTTGCCTTGTGTTTTTAGAAACATATTGTGTATTCATATTTCTATTTTTAATTTCTATGCCTTGCTGCACATTCATTGTCTAAGTCTTCAAGTAATTTTCCACGCTCTTGAGTTATAACAGAATGCATAATCCCTGGTCGATGTTTTTATGTTGGGAAGAAATAATGGAAATATTAGATTTTATAGCATTATAAATTATAGATATGACATAAACAAACATGATCTATTTTGTTTTAGGGTAGAATAAGTTATTTTATGTTTAATGTTTCAGTTAAACTAAAGTGAATTGCTTGAATTATAATTAGGAAGAGCATATATTTATTGAAGTATACTAAACAGTGTGATAAAACATAAATTTCTTTATAACTATATACTGTATAATCAATATTTTGAAGTAAACTCCAATCCAGACTTATTTGTGTTCAATACCATTGAAACTGCCTCAAAATAAAATTATGCATATACTAAACAGTATGATAAAAACAAGTTATTTATAATTATATACTTTATAATCAATATTTTGAATTCAATTTACAGACAATGATTGATTAAGTGATCATGTATGAAACCATATGTTTATATACCCTTTCACTTTTTTTCTAACAGAAACTGAATCTGTTGTTCTAAAAGGAGTTCAGTACTAGCTGGGTTATTAACATTGTTGTCCTAGTTTGTGTTACAATGTAGTTACAGATAGTTCTGTTTATTTTCCAACAACTTTCTTTAAGCTGAAAATTTTTTTAATTCAAACTTCAAACAGTTTTCTTTTCACCATTTTGCTCATCAATTACTTTTTTTAAATCAGCTGATAGAAAATGGCTTAGTAAGCTTATCTCTCAAGTGTTGAGACTCAGACAAAAACATGTCATCAAATTATAAAATACATATCATACATGTGATGCACTGGATCAGGCTTTGGTTGTTTCAACTGAATCCCTTTAGAATAACTTTAGTCAGTTTTCGTGGCCATTGAAATCTTCATTACTTACTAAATTGACAAAAGAAAAATGAAAGGAGAGTAGTTGCTGTCTTTATTGCTAGTAAATTGAATTCAAAATTCCATGATTGAAAATATAGAAGCAAATATTAGAGCTACTTATTCAATATAACTTTCATAAAAACTCAGTCATTGTATTCCTACTATCTATTGATGGAATATATAATGACACATTGAAAGCCTTTTGGTGTGTAATATTCTCTAGGGAACTGTAAATTCAATATACAAACTTGTTAAAATTCTTATTTCCTCTATTTCATGTCAAATGACATTGTTTCCATTCTTTTCACACCATTATTATGGTTTAAACTGTTTTTCTTCAACACTTGATGCATTATTTTCCTTTTTCAATTGTTTACAATTTAGAATATTAGATGTGATTGATTGGTATTCTGGTAAGGGAAAGAGACAGTTGATTTCAATGGATTTATCATATTTTTTTTAAACACTAAACTGTATCAGTTCAACTCTTAACCAGTCATATTGTCTGATACAATAAAATATAAAATCCTTATCCTGTACCCACTTGCGTCATCTTGAAGTTGCTGGTATTCTGTCTTCTTCATTAAATGTACTGGAAAGATTCAATTTTAATATCTATTTTCCAAGAATTATTTGCTTGACAATATTTTCTATGAGGTTTCTTTGGTACTCACAATAACCTGTTGTAAACTAGAAGATCAGACCTAAATGCAGTATTGTGGGTACTGGTAGTTATCTATGATAACATCAGAAGGCAATAGATAATATATTTGTAAACATAATCTTCCCTAAACTAAACAGACTCATTAACCTTGCTCGCTGAGAACATGTAGTATAATAATTTTTTTGGTCAGCTTCCATTATCTTGGATCAATTTTCTACTAATTCAAGATCCATTACAATAATTTGAATGACTATTTTGAACACCTCACAACACTGTTTGTCAACACAGTTTAACCGTTGGAGATTTCACATGACTCAAAATCTTTTATTGGCTATTCCTTCTCTAGAGAAAAAATAAAGAAAAAAGGTATCAAGTTGCTAATGTGATTGGGTGACATGTGAGCTATTTAATTAAAGCTAGGATTAGACTTAATCCAACTCTAATCTCACTACTTTCTTGGTTCACGTTGACAAATCAATCCAATGTCTTGTCCTGGTTATTTCAATCATCTTCAATTGTGAACCAGAACCTAATTTCAGTACATGATTCAAGAAAATTTACATGTTGAGAGTTTGAAAAAATATTGTTTGTGTCTATTTGTCTCCTTCTGATTGGTCTAATGAGGACAGTTATGTCATCTAATTACAGTGAGGGAATTATTTTTAGGATATCTGTATAAACCTATCATATTTACGATGTCTAACTAGCAGGACATTTTTTAGATACACAGTATGTAGGATATGGGACTCAATTTACAACCTTTAATTCAAGGTGCTGTTTTAAAAGCCTTGTCGACACGACCAATTATAGCAGCAGATGTGGGCTACAAGGGGACACAACTTAAGATGTCTCTTTACCTGGAGGGTAAACAACGTACAGCTTTCAAACCAAAATGGTGAGTTTTAATGTGTACATGGTTTTAAGCAGAATTATATTGTAAAGGTAATAAGACATATAAGGATATAATTTCATGATATAAAGGGAGGTAAATCCTGTAGTTTTTTTAGACCACATTTAATTTATTAATGCAGATTTGTGGTTTAACTGTGCAAACGTGACATAGTAAACTAGAAATAGTTAATATATATTGTAGGTATTCTAGAGATTATGTTATAACAGATTCACCTGTATCAGGTGCTGATAGACATAATGGTGAAATAGCAGCGTTTCATCTGGGCAGGTGAGTGCTATTCTCAACCTCAGTGGTAGTAAAGAGATAAAGTTGCCAATAGAATTATTTATCTTTCAACTTATTCTGTAGATAATTAATAACTTATTCAAGTGACAATAGTTTACGTAGACTTTATTTATATAATTGATTAGTAGCCTTTCATTCGGTTAACTATAATTAATATTCTATATATTTATCTCCAATCACCTGATTGTAAGGATGATTAAATACTGAATTAGAATTATTGGTTTCTAGAATATTAGGGTTTAGAAGAACACCCCTGGTGTCTGGTAGAAGAGTTAATATGAATACAGATATTAAACCTGTTGGAACCAAAACTCTACTGGATACATTTTATATGCAAGGTGAGTCTGATCTTTATGTCTTTAAATCAGAATAATCTCCCTTCCACATCTGAGATAAACTGCAGCCAAATAGAGATTTCACAAAGTTAATGATATTTATTTGTTCTATTACAGACTTATACTGTCCTTAGGTCATTCTTGAACTATTAGCTTATACCTACTGATTGGCTTCATGTACATTTTATTCTCTTACTGTTGAGGCTGAATGTAAAACTCTGTGGAGGTGTCATAGACGCAAATTTCTCATTGAGTATCTGAAAGGGTGAAAATTTTCAAAAAATTTAATTGATTTTATGCATTTTGACCCATATTCTCATTTAAAAAATTTATAAAAATCCTATTTTTACAATTGGTTAAAGATAAAGTTGGGGGTGACAACTATTTTTCTAGAGGGGCAATGTGGCCCACTTGGCAGAGGTCATAAAATTTTTCTTAATTTTGAAGTAGTATTGAGCTTTTGAGTCAAACCAATTTTTTTAAATATAGTATTGTTTCAAGTTAAAGCTTTGTTAAAAATTTGAGCACCACTATGATGAGAACTGTAAAGCATGCTCACTTTCCCAGAAGAACTGATACCACTATTTGACTGAGTTTATCATCATATCATATCAGTTCGCAAACCTAAAATTGTTTATTTTGTTATGTTTGTAGATGGTAATGTATGTTTTTATGGAAGATGTTATTATTGTAAAGGGAAAGATACAGGAGTATGTGGTGAAGGTGATATTCTAGAAGGAACTGTTGTTTTATGGATGCCTTCTCATTTCCAACTAAAAGTACGCAAACATCCCTGGTCCAGAACTTATCGGGAAGGCAAATTAGCGTTGTAAGTTAGATTTTTGCTGTGTCATGTTCACTTTGTCCTGTATTTGAGTTTGACATTGTTTTGCATCCATTCCTGCTGGACCTTCATCAATATACTAAAATCTGGCAATGCCATGACAACTGACATATCATTTCTTCTATTTTACTAGTGAAGAGGTGTAACATTTTTGTAAAAATTGTAAAATGTTTTGTTTCAGATGGGAAACTGATGATGGTTATTGTCGTAAAGTACAGGGTATAGAGTTCTATCGTAATGGTCCAATCTTATTAGATATTATTGATACAGCTATATTTGATTATTTAGTTGGTAATGCTGATCGACATCATTATGAAACCTTCCATAATGCTAGTCAAACTATGTTACTATTATTAGATAATGGTAAAAGGTAGGTATGTGCGTTCTTGTAACAATATGACCAATATTTAGTCTATACTATTCAACAGCATAATTTTCATCTAATGCAGAATATATTCCAATTCTGAATATGATGAATCAGTAGGAATGGAAGTGATACATGATATTTATGTGATATTTTGAAATATATATTTTATAGTTTTGGAAATCCTTACCATGATGAAAGATCTATATTAGCTCCACTGTATCAATGCTGCAGGTAACAAATCTGCTATCTTATGACTGTTTTACTGTTTTTAAGCTTTTATTGTTATTTTTAATGTGATCCCACAACAGAGGGTCATAAATTAGACGCACGATCTTTGTAAGCCATGAAAGTTCAGGATCATTGGGAAACTTATATGTAGCATGCTGCATCTGACTATTTGACCCTCCATAGTGGGATCACTAACAGAATGTTATCATACATATGTCTTGTGACACACCAATTACATTTCAAAAGGGATAACTTTATAATAAAGTATGGTCCAAAGGATCTGGTAATACATACTTTTAACAACATATACTCCCATCTATCTACCAATTTCATAATGGCATAAAACAGTATAAATATATACATATACCTTTCTGTAACTCCAGAGATATTTTGATGGTTGATATTTGATGATATAATTACAGTGTAAGAGTGAAGACATGGGAAGTATTATTATCATTACAAGATGGTATATTAGGGTCAGTGTTAAAAGGGGTGTTACAATCAGATCCTATTGCTCCTGTACTAACTGATTATCACTATACAGCTCTAGACAGAAGATTACAGATTATTCTGAAGGAAATAGAACAGTGTATGAAAATATTTGGTATGAAAGTGATAGTAACATCTTGATATACAACCATTCAACTTGTGCCTTTACCAATGCTTTGTGCTTTGGACATTATGGAATCCATCATTGGGGCAACTGTAAGAGCTATCTTTTGACTTATTGAGCTCAGTAGCCTAATCTGTTCCACAGGATCTAGTGAGATCATTGAGATAAGTCTACAGTAAAAATACTTTAGACTTGAGGACAACTGATAGACATTGATCACATTGATGCTAACATCAGCTTTATATAATAGCTTCAAAACTATTCAAATATATTCATCAGTAAAAAGCAGCAAGAAAATCTATCTCACTTATCTGAAGAAATTTTGTCCCAATAATCTTGACTCTATCTTTTAAAAAAATATGTTACTCATTTTTGGGGGACCTACACATTTCAAAACTTAAACCCATGACAATCAACAAGTTACAGTATATGGAAATGATGGTTCAGTTCTTCTGTTTGAAGTGGAGAGTAATCATGACAGATTCAGAGCTCTTGCTTTATGTTTGTTTTTACTATTTGCTGTGCAATAAGTAGGTTTTGTTAATAACTTTGTTTTATCTTAGTGAAGATGGTTCTGTGGAAGATCTGTGAATACCTAGTTATTAATATAAACTCAGATAACTATGTTCAATTTTAAAGATCTTTTATACAAATGTATGCATTTGCCTTTTATATTTGTTAATATTACATTATATTTTAAATGAAAGATTGAATCGTTTGTGCAGTGGCAGATTAATAGTGTGGTTTATATTCCCCAAACCCATCTGATACTATTTTTGTGCTTTAGACTGTAATTAAAAACAGGAATAATTATGGAATATCATAATATCAGCTGGTAGAAGTATATTTATAAAGTCCTGTGTTTCCTCCAAGACTAATTCCTACAGGAACCTTGATTTAATGCACTGACAACCTGTTCATGCCCTAGGAACGTTATATGTGAATGAGCTCAACTAGATGAGTGGGGCATAGTGGACTGTGGCAGGTTTGTGCCCCTCCCAATGAGATTGAGTTTTTCTTTACATATGCTCATTCTGTGACCCATCTGAAGTCAATTTAATGATTGTTATTACTGTTTTTTTTTAGTTGAGCCATTGTATGGGATGTAACTGCGGAATGATAGGTACTGCTACAAACTACAACTAAATGTAAAAGATTATCGCCCGTTAGATTTGTCAAAACATATGGTAGAAATGAAATGGAGTTGAACTTTTCAGCTCTTCATTGAGCGTATGATCACTGACAGGGGGATACTGAATTGAAAACGGCTACCGTATGATCATGAACTATGGGCAATTGCATGGTCTACATTCTCCCATACTCTTCATGATTTTGATCAACTGTAGCACCCCGACCCTGGCTGAAATATGAAAGTGTCTACCATGTCAACTGTTTTCTGTTTTGATACTGATCAAATACAAGTCGGTTTTCTACTTGTTACACAAAAGACGTGTTAAAATCAATGTATTTATATAAAACGGATTTAAATACTATAAAATCTTAACAGAATGTACATTAGAATTATCAAATATTAATTACATAGTGTTTATATATCAGAGGAATTAGGAGCCTTCAGTGTACCAAGTCTGTAATTTGGTACCACTGGTAGAATTTATTTTCGGTTGGAAGTCATGGATTATTGTGTGCACTGTAAACTTACTCACCCATAAAATAAAGTTATTCAAGTTTTACAAAATTTAATGACTTCATAATTCCTTGATTTTTCAGAGAGGAGCCCGCTATTAAAACAAAGAATGTTGTATGGAATCATATTAAAAACCGAGAGCAAGTGCTAAATCATTAATACTACTTGTGAGATTGAGGTTTCTATGAATATATAATTACTAATTTAATATACAATACTAATATACACAATAAATATAGTACACTGATCTTATTCAAGAAATACTCAATCTACTAGATGTGTTCTCATCTGTAGCTCTCAGATTGCAGTTGTAGTTTTCGATTCACATCCGATGAGATAATGTTCATGGACATTGGACAATTAGGTATCATTATTCACTTTTCACCAGTGATTAAAACGATTCTTCGTCAATCGTCAACAGTAATTATTTGGGAGAACAATCACCAAATGAACAGCCGACCTGGATCACTGCCTTGAAATAAGTTAGGAAATACTTAGGTGTATGTTAAATTTGATACAGAATCTACCTTGTGCCTTGGAGAAACAGAAATGGAATTACCTGTTCACGAAATATTTGAAGGAATATGCATGAAAACCAAATATAAAGAATTACTTTTCCATGTTTGTAATAAAGTATTTATGTATAGATAAAATTTGACGTATTTCAAGATTGTCTAAAAAAAACCAATGGAAAGGTGAATAGGTGTAAAAGTTGTGACATTTTATACAATTTGTTACAGTAATAGTCAAATAAAAGTCGCGAGTTTTATCAAAAGGTTAAAAAGCACTTTCCTTAAAGGTTATGTTTTATATGTCAATATGCGGTTTGTTTCTTTTTTCCTCTCGTATAGAAACACTCAGGCTATTTTAGTTAGTTTGTCACAATGGAGGCATAAACAATAGAGGCATGTTGTTTCATCTTTCAGATGCATTGATTATAGTAATCGATTGCGGTCATAATTTGTAATTTAAGATCCAAGGAATGTCAATGTAGCAGAAATGAAAAATATTCTGTTTCTTATCAGATTTTTTGAGACCTTGGCTTCAGAAGACACAACACCAGATCAGCGTTTATCATTTCAACCGAATGATTTAGACATCCAGCTATATCACGTTTAAAATCTCTCAATTCAAACTGTATCTGGCACTTATATGATGTCATTGATATGAAAGTAACCGTTTAAAAATAACTATCTGGTTGCCAACTTCCGCGTTTTGGACAAAAGAAGCCTTTTAAAATACTGGCACATCCTTTCTGAGGTCGTTCCTCGTCAGTAGGCATAGCATTGACTGTGTAGTTAGATCCATTTTTAGCTTTTTCTTCTTTTAAAACTTTCTTAGAATCGCTTGTACTTAACGTTCCTGTGGAATGGAATCTCGAAGCATCTTGATGGAATAATGGCGATGTATTTCCTTCTCTCATTGACTGACGATGATCTGCGAATACTTTTCCAAAATCATCCTCATTTGATTGGCTAATATCTACTTCCTGTAACTGATAATCCATGTCATCACCCAAAGCATTTACTGTGTCGATTTCTAAAGTTGGTGGCTCTGATTCCACATTGGTCACTTTCTCTGCAGACATAACGTCCTGAACGTCAACGGCCTTTTCATTAGTGGGAGGATCATCTTTATTGGACGTTTCGTTATTAAACCCAAACGACCCCAATACGCCTGTCGATTCTATTTTATCCTTCATCGAATCTATCATGTTATCGTCATTTATCACAGAATCGCTAGCCTCCGTTATTTTCTCTTTTGCCACATCCGGCACATTGTGCTCCACTATTTGGCTCTTTGCCTTTCCGATAAGTCCATCATCACTAATATTATTGAGTTTATCATTCACAGCATCACCGCCATATTCTAAACCTCGATCTCTGACCTCTACCACTTTGCCTTTTACAGTGTCCAGCATACCGCCTTGTCCACTCTCTTCATGTTCTTTAGAATCAGCTTCAGCCTCCAATGGCACTTCAGGTAGGCCTACATCAAACTCGTTGTCAACATCACCAGAAACGTCCATGCCGTCATCGGGATTACGCATTTCACTAGTAATCAAAACGTCACTATCAGTAATAGCACTATGTACAGGTGGTGGTGGGGTATATCCACCATCATCCGCGTTCGATTCGTTGTCATCGTTATGGAAACTAGTGTCCGATTCCTGAGCAATCTCGAGTCTGGAAGGGTTCGGGGCCACAGCCAACCCTCCACCGTAGGGTCTTATCACTTCTTCTGTATCGGATCGCATACTTAATCTGTGCTCCGAATCCTCGGGTTCTGGTGATGTTGTAAAGAAGTCGCTGACGGTCGAGTCGTCAACGTGGCCAGGGTGCGAATCGACTTCCGGTGTTTCACTATCTGAATAGTCACTTTGATGTGAATCGTTTTCAAAGTCTCCCAAATAACTACCGTGGTTAAGATCTACAACTTTTGAAATCCTCCAATCAGCCTCATTGGTCAAGTCGACATCGTTTGAATGAATTCTCTGTGTGTGTTCTTCCGTATGTTCAGACGGTGTAGCGGAAATGTCACGTGTATCGTGTGAATAACTTGTTATTGTTTTAGTCACGGCAACAATTTGTTCATTGTCACTGTCGCCATTTTGAATTTTATCCAGGGAGTCAAATGCTGTAACTACGGCGTCTTCAACATCTGAAAGTCTGTTGTTGTCGACGCCATTTGTGTACGTGGTCACTTCTGTTCTGGTGTAATCTTCCATTTTGCAAGTCTAATCTGAAAGTAGAAAGAAGTAAATCATTAAAGTAAATGATCTTCACGCTTTAAGCACTGTACATCTATAACGTACAATAGGAAGACGTTTGAAGAACTGTGTGTGTAATCTGTAATTTTTATTATGATTTATAGTCAGTTATTTGGAACCGTCTTTGATAAAACAGTTTTAACAACTTTGTGGTACCTTTCTTCTGTTCATGTACAGGAGCAAGCAAGGACTGTGCAATAAAATTATTCGTTTTCAGCTACTTCACGACTGCCACACTCCGTACGACACACAAATCAGTTGTCACCAAGTAAAAACATTCTCATGTACAGTGTGGGGTTAGATGTTGGTAAAGCATTGTATCAACTCTGGGTCAAGTCTATTTCTAATGGTTTATTGAAATGCAAATTGATCAATATGTAGGTCGATTTCATAAAAGGACTCAACACTTACTATTGTATAATTGTACTAATTGTTAGGCTTTTTTATGTTAAAAAGTTTATAAATAGGCAGCTTTCAAAGTCAACAAAAGTCTACAGTTGCCAATGTATATGTAATAAAAAAACATTTTTTCAACAGTCGCTATCGATATAATACAATAAAAAATGAAAAAAAGATGATCTATGCAAGCTAGAGATTTAGAAATGTCTCAACAAGATTACATGACATCGCAAAATGTTTGGTCAAGCTTTTCACATACCACTTTTGATACTTTATTAGTGTAAGGAAAATAACAAAATAACTTTTTCTAATGGAAACCAAGGCGAATGAAAGATGGTCATGAAACGTTTAGTAACCCAACGAGACGAGAACATTTCACGTAGGCGTATTCAGTTGTAAATTTAATTATCATTGACATGAACAATTGGTCGTGTTGTCATTCAAAGGAAAATATCTGTATAACTGAATGTAAATGAATGAAGGAAATTGTATAGATTTGACTTTCAACTGTTGTTGAAATAAACTTGTTATATACAACTTAACTCGACTGTTATCTCACATGAATAAACATTTTGACTCATAAAAAGATTGTGTTTTTTTTTAAAAATGACTGAGTATATTATGTGATTGTCTTGTCGACAATATAGTTAAATGTTATAACAATATTTTACTTAAAACACGGAAGAGGTTTGGAGTTTCTTTACAAATCCTCCTAAGCCTTAAAGTAAAGCATTGTATTTTAATACATGCGATGTGTTTTGTTGACATTATATCTATCATATTGTGTACTTATTTCGCTGTAGTTTCATTGAAATTTGAGAACAAATTTTATAAACTGAGCCATGGCAAAGATGTCACAGTAAAGATTTTACTATCGATATTTTCAGCCTTTATATAACATGTACATGTATTTTGGCTACAATGTTGAAAGTTGACTTTAAGTTTTCACCTTGGTTGCCTAGATGTTTTATGCCTTCTATGCGATAATAAAACAACTCAAATGACTAACTTCGTCAATTTGATTTACTGATATTCACGTTTCCTACTTCTACCTTGACATTTTTAAGCAATATCCTCATTTTGAGAACAAGTAGTTTACCATCCTTGTGAATTAACTTATTTATATTTTCAATATTATCACGATTCTTTCTCTCATTCATTCAATCTTTCAACCGGTGCAGAAGAGTAGGACGTAAACTCCATTCATTTCATTTTCAATCTTGTACCAACTTTCCTTTCATACCTCCATTATCATCATTCATATCATCACTCATACCCTTCTTATCATCATTCATAACTTCATTATCATCACTCATACCTCCATGATCATCATTCATACCTTCATTATCATCACTAATACCCTCCTTATCATCATTCATCATCACTCATACCCTTCTTATCATCATTCATAACTTCATTATCATCACTCATACCTCCATGATCATCATTCATACCTTCATTATCATCACTAATACCCTCCTTATCATCATTCATCATCACTCATACCCTTCTTATCATCATTCATAACTTCATTATCATCACTCATACCTCCATGATCATCATTCATACCTTCATTATCATCACTAATACCCTCCTTATCATCATTCATCCTCACTCATACCCTTCTTATCATCATTCATAACTTCATTATCATCACTCATACCTCCATGATCATCATTCATACCTTCATTATCATCACTAATACCCTCCTTATCATCATTCATCATCACTCATACCCTTCTTATCATCATTCATAACTTCATTATCATCACTCATACCTTCATTATCATCACTCATTCCTTCATTATCATCACTCATTCCTTCATTATCATTATTCATACCTTCATTATCATCACCCATACCCTCATTTTCATCATTCATAACTTCATTATTATCACGTATACCCTCCTTATCATCATTCATATCATCACTCATACCCTTCTTATATTCCTTCATTATCATTATTCATACCTTCATTATCATCACTCATGCCTTCATTACCATCATTCATAACTTCACTCACGCCTTCATCATCATTATTCATACCTTCATTATCATCACTCATACCCTTCTTATCATCATTCATAACTTCATTATCATCACTCATACCTTCATTATCATCACTCATTCCTTCATTATCATCACTCATTCCTTCATTATCATTATTCATACCTTCATTATCATCACCCATACCCTCATTATCATCATTCATAACTTCATTTTCATCATTCATAACTTCATTATTATCACGTATACCCTCCTTATCATCATTCATATCATCACTCATACCCTTCTTATCTTCCTTCATTATCATTATTCATACCTTCATTATCATCACTCACGCCTTCATCATCATTATTCATACCTTCATTATCATTATTCATACCTTCATTATCCTCACCCATACCTTCATTATCATCATTCATACCGTCATTATCATCACTCATACCTTCATTATCATCATTCATACCTTCATTATCATTATTCATGCCTTCATTATCATTATTCATACCTTTATTATCATCATTTATACCTTCATTATCTTCTTATTATCATTCATAACCTCATTATCATCTTTCATAACTTCATTATCATCACTCCTAATCTTCTTATCATCATTCATAACTTCATTATGCATTCTTGCATTATTATCTTTCATTTTTTCATTATCATACATGCATGCGTTATTATCATTCATTCATTCACTCTGTCCTTTCGACCGTTTCAGAGGTAAGAGTATATGAAGTTAATACGATGTTTTTTTCCCAGTAGGTTAAAGAACTATAATATACTGATCAAGACAGAAATATTTATTGATTTTTCAACTTGACTGGTTTTCTTTACAAATACAATACGCACAGTTGAGGATTGTATTATCTATAGGCAGTGATGGGTGACAGTATTTGACTATTAGAATAAAACCCAATACTTTAAGCAGCACAGTTATCTGATTAAAACACAAATTCGAATTCAATTTAATGGATTTTTTCCCATAAATCATTTTATGTTATATTTGCGTGAAATTGAGTCCTGTTCGTTTGAAGACTCAACAATGTGATGCAGAGCTAATTCAAGAATTAATTGTACTCGGCAATTGGTTTTGCTAATTTTGTGAGAGTTCACAATGCTAATGGCGTAAAAGTAAAAGCTACTGCTCATGAACATTCACGAAATAGCATGCTATAGAGACTGTATGAAGGGGTATAATTGTTTAGACAAAGTATGTTTAATATCACACTGGCAGATTTATCAAAATTCTGTAACCTTCACAAATCGTTTAAGATCATCTATTCATCACATAGATTATCAGAATGTTTCAGTTGATCTGAAGAGGTTAACAAGATTTTTATATGAGCGACTTCTGATTTTCTGTCATTTTGCACCACAGTAAACTCCGCCGATACGGCACAGAAAAGCCTAATCTTATCATGTTCACTTTATGGATTTTCGTTTCAGATTTTGAAAATTTTGAAAGATGTGATGTCATATTTTACTGATGTGTTGTCTTAGGTTTAGTGATAAATGCCTTCCAAATATCACCAATACAGATTCTTACACTTATATCCACTGACATACATATCTTTAATTTGATCATGATTGATGCTCATCTAAAGGATTGGCATCATATCAGAACACATAGCAAGAAAATGACATTAATATGCACACTCAAGTGTCCAATTCGGAAAGCATGATTATATCTTAATGCGTTACGTATCGACGACTTATTTCAATTGTTTTAAAGTGTTTCCAGTATCAAACATCAGTTTTCAAGTTAAAACCTCTATGTTACATTACAGCAAATTTGATCAAAGCCAGAAGAAATATAATTCACAGGGAGAGATACTTCAAAAAAGCTGAAAGTTAAGTCGATAATCTGAGCTAAAATGAATACCCGAGTCAAATCGCATTACTGTGAACGATAAGTGACTCTAGTCATTCCTGCCGACAGGTGCCTGATAAAACATAAGAGTACGATACCTACATTTTTCATTCTCCAACCGAGGACCGTTATATCCAATAGACTGAGAAAATAACTTCTTAAACAGTTTAAAGACGGACTGTTAATCTATAGTGTGACAGTAACACCTCTTGTTTGCCTTCTACAGATACAAATACCCCCACGTTATTAAAGTGCTGGATACACACGTCACTATTTAACATGTAGCTACGATTACACCAGCCAGTGACTTCCGCGACGTTATAAACGTGACGGTTAACGTTCTTGATATTGTATGAAACACATGGCAAATTCTCTTCTCCATCATAATGGCTATATTCTGGTTATTTCCGATGGATTTGCCGAGGATTAGAGATTAGGTTGAGTTAAAATAGAAACAATTGTTAACATCGGAATTTAAAAACAAATTTCGACTAATCCCAAAAGTCATAAAAAGGTGTATCTACAAGAAAACAACATTTCGCATTTTCAAGGATACGTTTTGTTTCTGAATTTTATTTCAAACACACAAGTTTGCTCAAATAGCTACATTCCGATCCGAAATATACCCACCAATCAAATCGTTTATCTGGGAGAAGTTGTGACGGGTCTAAGAATGGTTAACAATATCTTTCATTTGGTCAAATTTGAGATGACAACAAAATAATTAATTGTGTAATATTAGTAAAAGTTGAAAGAACAAACATACGACAAGTACCAGCAATAATTGCTTTCAAATTCGAATTGGTGTTTTTACAAACTGACAACTTCTTCAAAACTATGCAAGTCGTTTTAACAAACTATCTCCTTAAGCCATTAAACTTTAATGCAATTGTGTGAATTCAGTTTCTAAAGAAACACTCCATCTTTATTGGTACGTGTAATTGAATTAAATTTTACCTCATTTCGACAACTTGACCCCTGTGATCTGTGTGCAGGTGCGTGTAGAATCACTATCTATTGTTAATTAATTGTCTTTTACACATTGAGTTTTAAGAACTTGTTAAACAGGTAACATAGTTCATTTAATGTTAAATGTTAATGAGATTTCTTTAAACTTTAATTTACCAGTAAAAACTAATACTGGGTACGACAGCTCAAAATCAAGAGCTAGCTTGTCTGGAAAGGTGATAAACGGCCACTGCATTGAACTCCAAATAATCTACATGTTATGTTATATCGTCTATTGATACATACTATCTACGAACAATGAAGAATGGCCGGACCATCACTACGATAAAGGATCAACTTGACCTCTTTACCTACAGACACAATCTTTAATACGAAATAATCCGTCAGAACTTTTTGAAGAATTATCCAAATGTAGGCGGTCAAATGGAAACTTCCTGTGGGCGTTAAAGGGGCAAATGCGCCATTGTTGCTGGGTGATTTTAGTCTTGAAAATATGTAAATAGTCTTCGAAAGTACTAGACATGTATCTAAATCACATAATTTCTTCAAAAGTTTTCGCAGAGTATCTTAAAATGGCAATTCGTCATTTTTAAGATTCAAATGCAGATATTTTGGACACATGTGGGTTTGAAGGCTCGAATTTCAACGGTGAGCTGTGAACACTATTACCGATTGGCATAGCTAAAAAATTCCTGTTTTTTTAGACTAAAGTATGATTGGTCAAAAAGAATGGCGCAAATGTCCCTTTAAAAAATGCCAGTTCTAGATAATTATAACAAAGTAAAAGCATGAATTAAAAAGGGCATGTCATTTATTTTTAAATGTTTAATTACACACTTTAAATGTTACTTCCGCATTGAAAATGACGTAAAAGTGTTACTGTCTGACATTCAAATCTTTCAGTTGGTTAATGCATGATAATTTGATAGTGTTATAGTGCTAATTTATGGTATCGCTTTCAGCTTTTATCATGTTGAGATGAATCATTAAAGCGAAAACTGAAACAGTGTGTAGTACCCTCCTTCAACCGAAAGTACTTGTAAAGTGCTCTTCAAAATAAAGGATTATAAGACCTTCCATAGCTAAACAAATTGGTTGCTATGGGCCTTTGGTGATATTCATGGGCAGCTAAACATAAACATCGACTATGTATTATCATGTAAATGGTCAACCGGAAGTACTTACGGTTAACAGTAAGTACCTGCAAACTAGAAAAGACCTTCCATTAATCAAAAAATCGTTGCTATGGCTCGTCAGTGATATCCATGGACAACTTGGGGGCATGGGAATCCAACCAAAAACTATGTACTAGACTATGTATAATCGTGTAAGTGGTCAACCGGAAGAACTTGAAACCTGTTTCCCTGAAGTATTGGAATGCCATAAATCCTTTTAATAACTCATAATAGTTGTTACACCTGTCAGGTAGGTCACGTGATGGGATGTTCATCCGTGGGAACTGAACGTATATTAATGATGATTTGTATCCATTATAAACATTCTTACTATGTTTCTCACAATTTGTCATCATAACTGATCTCTATAGGATACAGTACATCTTAGACTATAATACTAGTATTATATATAGCAACACATCATCTTCCCCTTTTACATTAATTTGTTGAAATCCTTTATGTAAGATGGACAATCCTATATCAATTTTGAATTAACTATACTATTAAGGGTGATAATATTTGGAGGCTTTGTAGATCGAACAAACCTATTCGGAATGCTGCATCAAGTATTATTTAGTTTCAGTTGCCATAATGGGTGGTCATTGCTGTACAAGATTTAAATGAAGGACCCATCATACGTAAAGGAATTACTCAAAAACAAATTTTGACTCTCGTGATTAAAGCTGTCGAAATCTCTAAGAAATTCATGTCTGCTTTTGAGGAAGTCGCTAGAAAAGAAACATCGTTCAAAACAATTTCGAATACAGTGAAGGTCAAATCTGATAATAAGGAAAGGACGATAAATATAATGTTGAATCATTAGAATATGTTAATAGCCCATTTAATAATAAGTGTTGAAAACAGAATGGTGTATTTTGTATGCATTTAATTTGTTTACGTGTTGACTCGCTCTGATTCTTGTCAATGTAATATCTGTAAACAAGTGAGACGTCGACTACAAGTTTTATTATTTAATGTTCTATAAGTATATATTGGGGTTTTATATTCAATTCATGAAATATCTTTAAAACGAATTGGAGATGGTTGATCAATATATTATTAGTCCAAAAATCAACATCGAAAAATTGCTTTTTGGGCAAGAAAAGACACGGCACAGTTCTTCAGAATTATTTAAAAGGTCTAGTGACTAGTTTTAAACCTCTCTCAACAATGAGAGAGACAAGGTCGACATTAAAATCCAGAGTCTGAGAGTAACTGAGTTTCCAAAGGCTGCTAGCAGCTTGAGAACCTTGGACAACCTCATGAGTGGTTTGATTAAGTTAAAGTAGGCGACTAGCTAAGAATCGTCATCACATATCCATGTTCCAAAAGACTATCGGATTTTGTCTTCGCATAGAGTGAATTTTTCTACTACATGTATATCGACTGTATCGATATCCCCGCGCCGTACACCGTGCATCGTCTATTCCCACCATACTACAGACCGAGCACGTCCAAGATCCAT